GTATTTTATCCTTTTTTGGTAATAAAGCATAGTAAGAAACAACAACATAACTCAACAATTAGTATTATATAGCCATGATTAGTTTTAGATTTCTACCTCAAATAAAAGAAGTTAAATTGTAATCCTGATTAATGCATTTCCTTGTGCCTAAATATAGCCCTAAATTTTTCTCTTCTTAAACCTCTAATTCATGACAGTTGATACAAACTGTTAGCTTTCAGAATTGATCTTGATATTCCTAAACTTATTCATAGCACTGCACATCTCTGTTGCTCCTCCCTCTTCATCTTCCACTACCAATTAATTTATGAACTCCACTGGAAATTCTGTATTTAGAGACATTTACAACGGTACTGAGGAATAAAGAAAGCAACCTGTCAAAATTAGGTGTTTGGGGGTTAAAACCACTGTCTACAACTAATTTTGAACTGCGATAAAATTCTATTTCTTTCTTAATATGTAAAATGAACAAAAATCACCATCACAAGTCACACCCTAATCTAGTTTAGCACAGAAACGATCACACATAATCCAAAGGGGAAGGGAACGCTTAGTAGATCTTTTCTTTTTCAATTCTCAATAGGAATATTTTATTTATTTGAGAAATACAAAACCCAAGTATTAATAGAATATGCCAAAAGAAAATAAGAGCAGTTGGCTCCCTGAAGCTGCAGAAATAAGGAGAGCATGGGCTTTTAAAAATTCTCTGTAAAGGTCAATAAGTAATTGATTTTTTTTGTAGTTATAGCTTAATGCAACTAAATATTTCTTGAAAACTCTTTATGCAATAGGAATCACCAATGTGTATTTTTCATGACTCAGAAATATGAAAACAAGTGCCCATTAATCTGGCAAATACCTGTAAATACTGCATTACACAATTACTCTTGATGAAAATATTACCAGGATGTCCTCAGAAGGGTAAATGCCATTCAGCACAAACCTATTTTGCTTATTTAATTTGCCCCCATAAGTAGTAGCACATAATGAGAACTCACTGCTAATTAAAATTAGGTATAATCATTAAAGTAAAAAAGAATGTGCTTTAAGAACTATGCCTCAGACCTAGACTAAATTTAATGTAAATTAAGATTTCCTGGTCTGTTTCAATCACCTGTAGGCCGGAGTGGACTAAGATTTATGTAACTAACCAATTAATGCAGATGTTCTGACTTTCACATTAGGCAGTCACATTGAAGTAAACCCTTTCGATACAATCTTTCCTTCACTAAATCTCAAAAGGCCCCTAAAGTGATCTCTACCCACATATTCATTTCACTGTTAATACAATTTGCATTTAACCTACATTTACGCAAGGTATATTTCAGAATAATTCTTTCATAAAATGTATAAACATTAAATAAACAGCAAAAGTGATCAGACTAAAATATATGTAACACAAATAGACAAAACCAAAATAGCATATGAATTATGTTACCAATTATAAAAATATAAGGGGAACAGCCACAGAAACATCACAAGTATTTTCAATAAAATCTGACCACATGCTAGTCACATATTTCTGTATTAGTCATTCTACACTAAAATGACACACCTGAATACACAGTGTGTTTTAAAAGCTTTTCTTTTACTAATCATATAGTCATAACAAGTTATAGATTTAAAAAATAAGATTCTCATCATAAAGCTAAAAATAAATATTTAAAAGGAAATCTCCTTTAACATTCAGAAATCACTTTACATAAATGAATACCAGAAATATTAAGCTTAAAAAACACTGAAACACCCACTGCCAGAATCTTTAGAAGGAAAAGGAAAAGAAAAAAGGTAGGAAGTAAAGAAAGTATCCATGGGGAAGGGGGTAAATCATACTCAAAACAAATCTCTTTATATTTCCTCTTTTTCTGAGAAAGCATTCAACATGATGTTAGCAGAATTTGCTTCACTCATTCTGTATCTGTATAGGTCTTCAATTTCATTACTTTTATGAAATTAGATACAGATGCGACTGAGACATTAAAATCTACATAAATTTTAGTAGTTTCATTAAGTGCCAATCATCAGAGCCCTAGACTCTGCCGAAGACTGAATTTACAAGTTCATCCAACATCATTCATTCTCTGCAATAATCCCTCCGTTCAGGATACGAACAATTTTTTAACACTAAAATTTCAACATAATCCCAATAAAAACTCTAATACCACCTAAAACCATTTCTTTTCTCTACCTCTGCCATTAATGCTTAAATGAAACAAGGCTGAAGATCAAATAATGCAGAAATGTGCCTTCGTCAGTAAGTTTATGCTAAACGTACTGAATTTCAGTATTTTTAAAAGCATATTAAGTTAGAATGGCTAGTTTGTTTTACTTAAAGAATAGATTTTGAGAATCAATAAGGTTTCTCTTGTTTTACTATAAATGAACTTAAAAAGAAAATGCTTTACTAAACTCAATCATAATATTCATAATTTTACAATTTTATGTGATAATTCAATGTTGTGGTGGAAGGAAGGAATTGCCTCTTCCCACCCCCAGAGAATAAAGTGAGGATTTTTTTTTTTTTTTTTGAAGCATTCTGATAAAAAAAATTTTAGGTGGCATTTTAAAAAGTCAAATTGCAATTTATAATTTTTTTTTAATTTAAAAGGAATTCAAGTTATTAGTGGCATTTAATGTTTTTCTATGTGAAGTCAGAAGGTCAGTATTCAATCAAGTTGTGGTCTCAACGTGTTGATTATCTGCTGACCACTCAGGGCCACTGGTCATAGCAAATGTTTGGCTAGAGTCATGTAACATATAGAGAAGAGAAAGCAACTAATTTTAGCTATATCAGGGCTGTTGTTTGGAAACAATAGACTAATTCAATGATGGTTTAAAAGAAACACTGTTTCAATTTATTTGGATGAAGCTTTGTTTTGGGTAATCATAGTTCCCAGTGCTAAGTTAATGCCGTAAGGTACAAAATCTTCAAATATTAACAAAATACCCTGTATAAAGTATTATACCTTCTTGTTAGGACACAGACTACTGATTATATTTCCCAATCACAGACTGGCATAAAAATAATCATTTCCTTCGATATTAAAGAACTTCTAAAGAGCAGCATCATCATTGCCTTGCCTACTACCTCCATAAGGTTATGGGGCCCAAATTAAAAATACATGAAGATGCTTTATGTCATAAAGTACTATAAAAGTTAAAGCATTAAAATCACCTTCAGTGATTTAAGAGTAACTATGTTCACCTACTTATACTCTATATCCCAGATTTTATAGGGTTTAAAAGTTCATAGCAAATGGAAAGTAAGTTTTGTCCCATGCCTTTTCTTTATAGTAAGGAAAATGAAAACCATGCATGATTATCAGGACAAAATCCATTACTAATCCCCAAGAGTTTCCTAAGATGTTTTATTTTTCTTTGTATAATTACGTTTTATAACTCAATTTAAGAGTTTCCTACAGATAGCTTAGTCAAATCAACCATACTTAACTCTTTTAAGAAAACCAAGTATGTGAATTCTATTGCCAAAAATTTGCAATTGAAAATTTTAAAACACAGCATGTCTTTTAGCATTTAAAACACAACAGCTTATGCAGTAAGAAACATCTTAAATCTCCTTACTAAAAACATTTTAAACCTTCAACTCAGGTTGAAGTAGTGTTCTTCTAAATAAAAGATAATTATTTAAACAATAGATTAGAGGAAGTAGTTCGCATTAACCGTAAGAACCAAGGGTTTTTTGTTTTTGTTTTTTGTGTTTTTTTTTTTTTTGACAACTAAGCCTTTTAGAAGAACAGAACATACCCTAAATCTAAGTCTAAATTATTTCCCTAACAAGAACTTCCTACGTGAAGAGGAAAGAAAGAGACATCCTCAGGGTTAGGGATAGCTTTCATAGAAAAAGTATTTTCAAAAATCTGAATAACAAGTTAATGGGAATGATGAATATCATTAACATTTCAGAAAAAACTTCAATGGTTACATACAAATAAATCATTCCGTCTACTATGTCTTCTTTTTTAAAAAAAACCCACTGATTAATCAATCTTGGGTCACTACAATCCACATTTTTATATTTTCCGTCACACCTAAAATGGATATAAAACCTAGCATTTATCTGAATTGGGAATGAGGTTACAGGGTAGAGAAATTAACCTCTACCAACACATATGTCTACATTTAGAACTTTTTTCTGATAATTCCATTTTCTGACTTTTTTGGGTCAGACAGAAATATCAGTATGCTTATAAGTGAGTATTAAAAAAAAGAGAAAAATCAAATGATAGCTGAAAATTGAAGCTTAACAATTTTGGCCATCAGTTATCTACTTGAGAACAGGAACATTTGAAAGTAAAATTTTGTTTTGCACCATGTTGGCACCAATTCCTCTATTAAAGAGATTGATCGGCAGACATAACTTGTCTACTTTAGGGCAAGAACCCTGTGAGCAAGACCTGTGTCTAATACTATGGTCTGGTACACTGTTCACTGCATTGCTTTAGCAATTTCAAAACTCAAATCCTTTAACAGAAGATTCAGTTTGAAGAACAGGGCTCTTTGTTGGTACTTCTGCTTTTAACCCGTTAATCTCAAGCTAACACAACAAATTTACAAATAAGGCAGCACAACTTTTGACTATGTAAGTAAGGGTATCATTTATTGTAATATAAGAACATATTCTAAAACAGCTGAATGAACATGCACAACAAAATATGGTATTGAGACATTATACTCTCCTGAATGTATATAATTTTTCCTTATCTGTTAATGAGCAATATTATTTTTAAAATGTTAAATAAAATCCTCACCATTGGCCAATGGGATACTGAATACCACTATTTAAGGAAAAAAACTGAAATGGTGACGTACAGATGTTACTTAGGTTGTCTACCCTTTCTACTTTCAAAAGGCCACTTAAACTTATTCATATAAAAAAGCACATGAATCTTCAGAGAACACATACAAACCAATGAAGATTTACATCTATTAATCTATCTTAAATGTACCATTCTTAAGAAACAGAAAAACACTGATCTTACCTTGAATAGCCATTAGAAAAAACTGTTCGACCAGGGAAGTTCAGAGTCCCCAAGGAAGTCAAGTTGTCGTCTCCAGAACCTTGGCACCTATTCCAATTTTCAGAACCAACGGGAATTGGTGGAATGACATTAAAAATAGGCTTCTGATCCTGCTGTTGAGAAAGGGATGCTGTATTCATGTCATAGTGGTACATCTGTCCTCCAGAGGTACTCACACCATGAACAGAAATGGCAGACATTTTATTACCAATTATATTTGCTCCAGGAAAGCTTGCCTGACAGTAAACTGTGCCCAGTTTCTCTTGCTTAATTACCCCAGGGGTGCAGAGTTCGATGAAATCTTCTTTTTCTGTTTTCACTTGGGGCAGTGTTGCATTATTGGGGCTTGACAAAACCAGATCTCCATTATCCTTAATTTTGGGTTTAGTGTCCGGTAAAATGAGAGGCTTGCAGTCCTCATTCGAATTTCCTTCCAAAAGGAATGAATCGTCCTCTCCCGCCAGAGGAGAAAGCAAACAGTTTTCATCTATCAACAGGTCTGATCTCCAAGGACTCTCATTCGTCTCTTTACCTGGGGACCCAGAAGAAAACTCCAAATCCTGCAAAATGTCAAAGGTGCTTTGGTCTGCGGTATACAATTTCACATTGCCGCCGTTGGTGCCAGTATGGCCCTTCAAATTTTGCTGTTCTGAAGATCCATCAGAGTGAGTTTTTGGAAACTCCTTCTTTGTGGGGGCAGCAGACACAGCAGTGGATGCTGAACTCTTGGGGTTCTCTGGAACACTGGTCGACCTATTGAGGTTTGCAATGCTTTCTTCCAAAAGCTTTAAGTCTGTTTCCCCCGAGGAAAGGCTGATTTGGCCCTGCTGTGGGAATCCCAGGTCATTTCCCATCACTTTTGTTTCTGTCTCTCCCATATACAGTCCCATTGAGAGAGAAACTGCTTTGGAGAGATCTGGCTGCTGCGCATTGCTTACTGAGCCTTTTGGAAAATCAACCAAAAGTCTTCGCTGCTTGGAGTCTGACTGAGAAGCGACAGCCAGTGAGGGTGAAGATGCAGAAACCTTCACAGTAGCTCCTCCCCTTAGGGTTTTATAGAAGTCCATCACATTTCCCCTCTCCTGAGCAAGCACACTGCTGGGGTTTTCTTCTCTACTGGGAGTTAATGATTCTTTGGAGTCCATCAGTAAATATCAACTACAAAACAAAAAACAAAAACGGGGGAAAACATCATAAATTCTAAAGTCACATTATCTCCCTGATCTGATTAGTAAGAGACAGCTTGTTAAATGAACCTTTTAGTTAACTCCGAATCAAATTCTTTGTTACCAAAAGAGTAATTTCTATCTTTCAGAATAAAAAGCCATGTCTCCTGCTCCCATTCAGCGTGCCACATTTAAAAGTACAATGCAGTCCATTTGCACAGCTGAGGGCAAAATTGTATCGAACTAAGCTTGGCTATTCATCCTGCCACTCACTGAACGTGTAGCTTTGTTAATCACAAACATTATAATTCATTACATCTGATTATTCTAAAGGTTCAAGTTGATGTCAAAGTATTTAATTTCAAAAAAAAGGAAGTGTGATCATTAAAATTCCTACCTCTTTTCAACCAAGGCTGTTTGCTTTTCTGAGAACCAATACATATAACATTTGACAAATACTGTGCTAGAATTCCTCAATCCCTAATTACTTCCAAATTTCCCTCCTACCAGCTACTCACACATCCAAACCTTTAAGTACAACCAACTGGTGAACCATGCACATTTTCTTTGAAAAATAAACGATGCTGATCTGCTTATCTTCCGACAGGCTGGGAAAAGGCTTTTTAACCCATACTTCTGACTGGATGTGCCTACCTCCAAATTTTGGATATATGAAATAAGATACACATTATATAGGTCAACTAAAATTTAGATTTTAAAGAGCAGAAGACAATGTGTAGTAGCTTCTCACTACATTGTTAGCTTAAATAACTTAAATATAGCTGACCCTTATCATAACTCACAAAACCATGTAGATCAAGCTACACTTGTTTACATTGCTTGAGATCCTCAATATGAAATGCTATTACATCTCCAAGTTCTTTCCTTTCCAAACAAATATCGAAGTACCGAAAAATGGAAAAACACAGAATCGTAAAATCACATTCATATAAATTCAGGTACAACGGTATCCAGTAAAATGTTCAAAATAATTTTCTCTGCCTTCACCTATCCCAATTCTCAGCCTATTCTCAAGAGAATAAGACTGTTAGGATATCGTTAATCAGGGTGTTTTAAGAGATGGACTAAGACTGAGAAGCACATTTGGGACAGTATAGTCAAATCCTGCCCAATAAAAGGAAACTTTTCCTATACGATGACGTTAGGCAACATAAATGTCACTGGCCCTCACTGAAAAGTGAATATGAAGGTAAAGAGAGGGGTGTGGACTTGCCACTACAAATCTTGAGGGTAAAGTGCTTATCTCCCCACCCTCTGCCCTGTTTATCTGAGGTGATAACGATCTCTAAACACGAGGTATCAAATGGAGCCCAATGAATTTCCATACCGTTTTCTGACAGCTGCCTTCAAACCCGAAACCAAAACAATACTTCCTAAAACGAAAACGCTCCCTCAAGCGACATTATCCCCCAGTTTAAGTTGCAAATAACCCAGCCACATTAATCGGCCCTAATGAACCATGCCAGAGGGTCTTAAGTGGTATTACAAGGTTGCAATTATCAAGTCTGCAACCCCAAACGTCACACTAGCACTTGTCGAAAATCGCAACACAAAACTATTACGGTTACAGGGAGTCTTTTTCTAAAAGGGGCCACTTAGAAACCTCAGGCGCGAATTGACAACAAACGCTAAAGAGCAAGCCCTTGCGGGGCGGGGGCGGGGGGTGGGGGAGAAAAAAAAGTGCGAGGTTAAAAGAGAAATATGTCCAGACCTGTTGAGTTCTCTCTCCGACACGCCCACTTCCACCAGATAACGCTAGCCCCTGCCGGAGTCTCCAAGTAGCAAGCTGTCAGCCCCCCGCGTGTGTACTCTCACGCGCCCTGCACGCCCTCCCCAAGCCAGGCGCGACGGGGCCTCCCCAGAGCCCGGGCTCGCGGTCGGGCGCGCCGGGGTGGAGTGCAAATATTCGAGCGAGTAGAATTCAGACGCGGCTTAGCGTTCACCACGAAAACGGGTGTCGGGCGGCCCCTTGGAGGGAAAGGGGACATTTGGGGGGAGAAAAGAGGCCAGGGTTCCCGTCGGGGAATGAGAGGCTCGAAACCCCCGGCAGTTCGACAAGGCTCCGCTCGCCGTCCGAGCTCAGGTTCCTCCCCCTCTGCCCGGCCAGGGGACGCCGGCGGAGGGAGAGGAAGAAGCCAGCGCTGTCACCCGCGCGCTGCCCTTTCGTCACCGTCGCCCGGCCCTCGCCAGCCCCCCACCCCCACTCCCCGAGGCTAATAAAAGTTTGTAGGCTCCCGCGGTGGCCCCCGAGTCGTCTCCGGTCCCACCGGCACCTCGTCGGAGTGAGCGCGCCCCGGCCCCCTCCCCGCCTCGCTTCTTACCTCTGACAGAGGAGCCGCTCGCCCGCCACCGTCCGCAGCTCCTGCCGCAGCAGAGATAAACAACTTAGCGTGTGAACGCAGAAGGAGCAGGAGGGAAATATTTTTTTTTTTTTCTAAAAAAAAGGAAGTAAACAGCCGCCCCTTTCTCCATGGGTGGGGGGAGAGCCCCTATTTAAGAAAGTCTCCCATCGCCCAGCTGACAAGACAGCCCTCCGCCCCGCGCCGGGCTCCGCGGGTCCGGGCTTCCGGGCGCGCGTGCCCCGTCCCGGCGCCCAGCTGCTTCGGCCGCTCCGGCTGCGGCGTCTCCTTCCACCCACTGAATCCGTCCCCGACGGGCCGGCGGTGACTCGGGCTCCCGTCACAGACACGAGCTCGCAAAATGGAGGAGGCGGCGGCAGAGGGAAGGGAGCGCGGACACGCGAAAGGGCCGCCCGGCCTGGGCGAGCGAGCGGGACCGAGCGGGGAGCGGGTGGAGGCGGCGCCACGGCGCGCACACACTCGCACACACGCGCTCCCACTCCACCCCCGGCCGCTCCCCGCCCGAGGGGCCGCGCGGCGGCCGCGGGGAACGATGCAACCTGTTGGCGACGCTTGGCAACTGCAGGGGCGCCCGCGGTCCCTGCCCCCACGCCCTCCGCGCGGGCCCCGCCACCCCGGCCCCGACGGCGCCTGCACGCCCGCGGCCCACGGCGTGGCAGCCCAGCCGGGCGCGCCGCGCTTCGTCCCCCGCCCCCAACTCCCCAGGAAAAAGACAGGGCGGCGGCGGCGGGGGCCGACCTGGTCTATCTGGGGCGGCGTTAGGAGGGCCACCGAGTTTCTCCAGTTTCTCTTCTCACTACCTCCTTCCCGCCCCCGCCCAGCTCCGCGGCTCCGGACCCACTCGGGAGCTCGCTCTGCCCCTCGGCGGCAAGCGCCGCCAGTGCCCCTGCGGGTGACAGCGGGCGGGCCAGAGGAGCCGGGGCGCCGCCCGCGGCAGCGCTGCGCGAGTGGCCCGCGCCGCCGCCCCCAGGCCGAGTTGCGTGAAGTGTGTCACTTCGGTAGGGACTACGGGGTTGCACGGAAACGGTGCCGCAGCGTCTCCGCCGCGCTCGGGGCCGGGCGGCCAGACACGCCCTCTGAGGAGGCTTCAGGGAGGGGACTGGAGAGCGGGGGTCGGTGCATACGTACTTTGGGCCCGGGGGGAGTCGCGTGCCGGCAGGTCCCCCACCACCGCATCGTCTGGGCTGCCGGGTCTTCAGCTGCCGCCGCCGCGCTCTCGCACTGGGAGAGAAGTTGCAAAGCAGAACCCACCCTCCCCCGCGCCCCGACCGTCCCCCACCCTCTTCCCCGAGTCTGCGAGGCGGCGGTGGCAGAAGGAGGCGCCGCCTGCCAAGTTCAACCCCCACCCCTCCCGCCCATTGCGCTCACACTCGAAGGAAGTTGCACGCCAAACGCAAAACCTCCAGCGAGCTGGATTTCTTTGCACTTTTATTATTATGATTAAAGAAAGCAGGGGGCGGCAGTCCTAAAAGCAAGTTGCAGGCGAAATAGTAAGTTGCTGGCGAAGTATGCGTCCCCTCCCCAAACTCCTGACCTCTCCTTCCACCCCGACCAGGGCCCGCGTCCAAGTTCCCGGTGCAGGCCCCACCCCCAAATTTTGACATTTGCTGCCCTCGACTGTATGCGTTGCTCACCCTATCACGTTCATGGGACCCCAGCCCCTACAAATAAAATACGGGCAGCTTTAAAATGCCAGCGTTCAACTCCCTACAGCTGTTCCTGTTACGAGCTTCCCCCTCAGTCCGAGGGGAAGGAAACACGTGGCCCGTCCTGAGAGAGGAGAGGGCCGTGGGGCGAGGGAAGCCCCCGCCCCAGCTCCCTTCCCTAGCTCGCCGCGTCGGGAAGGCTTGGGCGATGCCTGGACCGAGCCTCGTATCTTGTGCGGCACAGATTATTTTTGTGACTCGGGGAAAGGTTGTGCTGTGTGGCTTTAGGGTTTGGGGAGGTAACTTTTGCGCCCCCACAGGTGACATCGCTTGCCAGCTCCTGACAGGGGCGGGGGCTGCCGCAGCTCCACCTAGTCCTGCTCGGGCGCTCGGCCACAGCCACTCTCTGTCCTCCCGCCGCGCTCAGACTGACGGCAGCCGCCTCTGTTCTGACATCTTGGAGACGATTGGGGAAGCGCGTCCCGGAAGCCGCCCGCCGCCATCTTGGTAGGGTACAGTGACGCCAGCCCGACCCCGCGGCCACCATCTTGGCAAAGGTTCGCGATCGCGGGTAGCCTAAGCCGTTCTTCCTCAGTTCTGAAGGGTAAACGGTTCCCTGTGCGTTTTCTAGTGTGAAAGGAAAGAAATAGGCTTTCAGCAAGCCTCTTGTCCGGAGACGATCTACGGAGGCCGCCTCCAGAGGATTCTGGAACCGCCATCTTGGCAAAGGAAGAGATACTCGCCACCTCGGAAAAGAAGAGGGAACCAATCTTATGCCAGCGTAGAACCCTCAGCCAGAAGAATTTTTATGAAGGGCGCTGAGCAACTCCATGTTAACAAAACCCCTTTCTGGACTCAGAAGGCAGACTCCGCTTCTCTTTTCCCTTGGCACAAGTCAACTAGAAGGAGGCCCTTGCTTCGGATGCTCTTCTGTGAGGCTCTGAGAGCGCTAGTTGACCTAGTTACCCCTTTTTCCAGTTTCTGAGCCTCAAGCACTAGAATGAGATGTCTTTCTTTAATTTGGCCCCTAAACTACCAACAGTGTCATGGGAAACAAATCAAGACCCGACCCTACAATAATGTTTTACACGTTTTAAAAGTGAGTTAAATAGCCCGTGCTAATAATTATCCTTGTACATGTGCTTAAAATAACTAAGAATTCTATTTATATATACATATACGTATACATATGTATATACATATATATGTATATAATTAAGGGGAAAATACAGTTGTCTAATGGAACACATCTCCCCATGCCATAAGCCTGTCTCACTGCTGAATCTCTGGTCTAAGAATCCAGCTTGTCGCTCATACATGCTCAAATCCTTAGTGGTAGGTACTCTGCTTAAATAATTTATGATTTCACAAGAGTTCCCAATTATTCTCCCTCCATTTTTTTTCTCTGCAGATCTTAACAGGGAAGAATACTCACATAGTTTTAAATATGCCATTGAAAACACTTTTAATTGAGCAAAAAAAATAAACTTTTCCTAATTTCTCTCTTCAGTGATCTAAATGTGCCTGTTAATTTTTTAATTTGATAGCAAAAAAATTCTCATTCTTTAGTCTTCCGCATTCATTTGGAAGCATGCATAAACTGTAAGTTAACCCCTCTTTTTCAGAGTAATACAAATAGTTATGATTTGTGGCTAACATTTATTGATCCCCACTCTTCTGCTGCCCACTTTTGCTGACAACCATTGAACGAGATAGGTATTGTTATTCGATTTTTCAATATGAGGACAACAGGCTTACAGAGGTTGATGCTTGTCTAAGTTCACACGGCTTCTATGCATTAAGAGAGGAATTAGACAATATTAAAGTGATTTTCCTCACTGAGCTCAATCATTAACATGGAGTAGTATATCAATTCTGTGATAGGCTTACAATAAGTGCTTATGGAATTTAATTCAAGAGATGAACTCCAGTGTACCAGAAAGGATATGAGATTTAGCATTATAATAATAACACGATTCTAACAAAAGTCAACATTTATTGGGCATCTGCTGTCTGACAGGCACTATTGAAAGTGTTTTACGCACAATATCCTAAGTCTTTAGGTATGGCATTTACTAATCTGTAACTCTGGGAACTTATAATTACTACAAGAAATAGGATGAATCCCTGTCTGAGTGGGAATGTATTTGATTGTCTTAGAAGCAGAGGTGGAAATGAAGGTGATGTATTCAAACTCCATCAAGGCAAGGACTTGATCTGTCTTGTCATAGCTTTATGTCCCACTCCTGGAACAGAGCCCACTACATAGTAGGCACCCAGCAAATACATTACAGGGTTATAATAACATCGACTCAACTAGTTAGCTAGATGTAAAATCACTTTTACTGGGTTATTGTCGTGGCCAAATGGGTTATAAATAGTGTATGGATAATACTCAAGATCCTCATTTTTATTGTCTTGTGTTTAAACATCCGAGTGCTCCCCCCATTTTTTAAAAAGTAAACCAGATTAGATTCATGATTGTATTTTCTTATAGTATTCTGCATACTTTGTTAGCACATTACAATGATAGTTCATTATTTGTGCCCCCATTTGTTACTTCTCTGTGTCACCCACCAGAATAAAAGCTCTGCAAAGGAAGGGACTGTGTCTATTTGTTCACCCCTTTATCACTAGTGCATAGTTGGTGCTCAGTGGGTGTTGGTTAAATGAATGAATACTATATGGTCTTAGAGAGTATGTCCTAAGGCCAACAAAACCTTAAGCCTGACTAATAACCAAACCACCTGATACATTGATATCAGAAACTGACATATTACCCAATGAGTTCTCCCATTCTCTTCATGTTTTATCATCTCCATTCCCTCGAAAATAATCCAAGCTGTACTCTCAGATTACCCCTCCAAAACATCAACTAAATCATGCCGTGCTCCTTCTCAAGTATATACAATAACTCTTGATTCTAGTGCTACACAGATCCCAACTCCCGGTATGGTATTTAAGATCATCACCTTTACCTGCCCCTTTTGTAGAAAGTGAAGCCTTCTAGCGGATGTGATTGAACTGGAGTTTAATTTAAAAATTAAGGAAATAGTTTCAAGAAAGATAACTTGCAAACTTCAAACTTTTGAAACCTAAAACCTATGATTGAACATTTATTTTCTAATCTTTTGATGAAGGTCTAAAGCTTTTATGAGCCCACTGACTGGAGTTCCATGTCTTCTTTAGTGTGTGTATAAACTATACCTGTAATGCCTGTAGCGTAGCAGTTAAAAGACAGACTATAAAGGCCAAATACGGTCTCCACCACTAAAAGGAATGTAACCTCGGGCAGGCTAACTCTCTGTGCCTTTTTCCATCATCTGTAAAATGGGGATAATAATAGTACTAATTTATAAAGATTAAACAAGTTTGATATATGTGAAGTGCTTAGACTAATTCCTGGGTCATAGGAAGTATTTACTCATCATTAGCAATTATTATTCATCTGTAGAATTACTATTTTCCCCATTTTTTAACAAAGTGGAGCAAGAAATTAAAGATACACATTCAGTATCTATGACCTGAAATGCTTAATACTGAAAGTGTTTTAGATTTTGGATTTTTTTTTTTTTTTCTGATTTTGGAATATTTGCATTATAATGAGAAATCTCAGCGGTGGGACCCACGTCTAAACAGGAAATTCATTTTTGTTTCATATACACCTTATAGCCTGAAGATAATTTTGTACAATATTTAAAATAATTTGGGGCATGAAGCAAAGTTTGTGGTAAGTACTTCCACGTGGGATTTTTCATTTGTGGTATCATAACAATGCTCAAAAAGTTTTGTATTTTGGAGCACTTCAAAATTCAGATTGTCAAGTTACGGATGTTCAACACGTACTTTTAGAATAATTTTAGTGCAGATTTCTAAATTTTTATGCTTCCTTGTTCCTGCCCCCACCCC